GTGGTGATACATGCATGTAATCCCAGCTACTCAGGAGGTTGAGGCAGAATCGCTTGAACCTGGGAGGCTGAAGTTGTGAGCAGAGATTGCAACACTGTACTCCAGCCTGGGCAACAAGAGCAAAACTTCATCTAAAAAATAAATAAATAAATAAATAAAGATTACTTACTTTGTAATGAGAATGGCTAGAAGGGGGCGTGGCAGTATAGAGACAGAAGGATTCAAGATAAGTTAAGGAACAGAACCCACAGGATTTAGGGGCCCGTTGCGATGGCTCATGCCTGTAATCCCAGCATTTTGGGAGGCCAAGATGGGCAGATGATGATGTCAAGAGTTCGAGACCAGCCTGACCAACATGGTGAAACTCTGTTTTTACTAAAAATACAAAAAAATAAGCCGGACGTCGTGGCATGCGCCTGTAATCCCAGCTACTCAGGAAGCTGAGGCAGGAGAATCATTCGAAACTGGGAGGCGGAGGTTCCAGTGAGCCAAGATCACGCCACTGCACTCCAGCCCAGGTGACAGAGCGAGACTGTGTCTCAAAAAAAAAAAAAAAAAGAACCCACAGAACTTGACTGATGGAGCCATTACTGACACAGCCCTAACCAACTAGTTTAAAATAGAACTTTCTCATCCCTCCTCTAAGGCCATTTTCCTATTTCTGTCATTTTACGAGTCGTTATTTAATATGTACCCTTCATGCTTCCAAAAAGGATTTAAGGAGGCTTACATATAAACAAAAAGTAGGAACAGTAAAAATAGAGACAGATCAGAAGTAATTGTACCAGGAACCTCTGCTAAAATGGTGATAACAATTGATACTAAATTTAGCTGTGAGCTTCCTGGTAGCCAAACCTTGTATTTATTTTTTTATTAAGAAAGAAGCATGTAAGTTCTTCAAGAGAGACAAACTTATTCAGCCTTAAATCCTAGGAAGCATTTATCATTATATCCTCATATAAGATATATAAAAAGTAACGGTTTTCATAGATGATGTACAAACATTCTCTTAACTAGTGATGTCTATTAATGACTCAATAAAAGCCAAAGGAATGGTAGTAAGTCCTTAATTTAGTGGAAGTATTTTGATTGGGCACTAAGCTAGTGTGTGGTTGATCTACTACCCTCTGGTGTTACGGCTTAATACCCAGTTAGAGCTGAGGGGATTAATGTGTTCCCAGGCTATCTTTTATAAACATCACTTGGGTGGAAATGATGGTCATCAGTGCAAAATTGAACTCTGGCTGGCTTGGAGTGTCAACGTCTGTGTTCTTTGCTTGCTTTGGCATCATGTGTACCAAGAGTAGCCCATTAGTCTGCATCACTGATTGAAAAGCCACATGTGTGAGATGTCACCCAGCCCAGTTGACTCCCTCTCCCTCAAGTGGCTTTTTTCCCTTTCCTTTCTCATAATGGCTGCCATTCTAGCCCTAACCAGTATCACCTCAGGTCTAGGCTGTACTTCACGTTCTCCACTCCAGTCCATCTAACTACCTCCAGAGCTTTCTGAAGTACCCCTTGTGCATACTGTTACCCCTTCCCAAATCTTCAGTGGCTCTCCATTGTCCATAGTAGCAGTACTCAACTGTTTTTCTGTCCCAGCACACCTAAAGAACGTATTTCTCTCAGTAACTTTAGTTTACCTCAACAATGATTATTAATGGTAGGACAAATAAGGAGATGGAGGGGATTGAGAATCACTGGCCTTCAGGTTAAATTTGTGTTTATTAGCCTGACATTTAAGTTTCTCCATAAATACAACCTTCTTTTCAAATCATATAGTCCTATAGGGCAATTGGTGTTGGAAGAAGGCGGTGCTGGAGCCAAATGCAGTTGGCTAACAAGTTCCTCGACAGAAAAGTTTTATTTGGGTCTAAATCCTTATTCCATAAACATGCTGTACACATTACCATTTCTGCACATTCACTTCTGCTATTTCATCTGCCTATGATTCCTTCTTCCCTCTTGGCTGTCTAAATACTAACAGTGTTTTAAACCACAGTTTAAGTCCTCTTCATCCTTTTTTCTTTTTTTAGATCACCCTGTTGCCCAGACTGGAGTGCAGTGGCATCATCTCAACCCACTGCAATCTCTGCCTCCTGGGTTCACGTGATTCTTCTGTCTCAGTCTCCCAAGTAGCTGGGACTACAAGTGTGTGCCACCGCGCCTGGCTAATTTTTGTATTTTAAGTAGAGATGGGTTTTCCCCATGTTGGCCAGGCTGGTCAAACTCCTGACCTCAGGTCATCCACCTGCCATGGCTTCCCAAAGTGTGGAATTACAGGCATGAGCCACTGTGCCTGGCCCTCTTCATGTGTTAAGAGTCTAAAGCACAGTTCAGCAAACTACAGCCTTCAGGCCAATGCTGATCCACTGTTTTATCTGGTCCTTTACAGAAAAAGTTTCCTGACCCCAGTCTAAAGAATGAAAGCCTAAACTTAGACCTTCTTATACTAACAGTGCATAGCAAGTGTGCCACTTCCTTTTAAGATTATGTCCCTGAGGCTTGGTATGGTGGCTTACGCCTGTAATCCCAACACTTTGAGAGGCACAATGGACAGATCACCTGAGGTCTGAAGTTCAAGACCAGCCTGACCAACGTGGCGAAACCCCGTCTCTACTAAAAATACAAAATTAGCTGTGGTGCACATGCCTATAATTCCACATACTTGGGAGGCTGAGGCAGGAGAATCACCTGAACTTGGGAGATGGAAGTTGCAATGAGCTGAAGTCTCAGCATTGTACCCCAGCCTGTGCAACAAGAGTGAAACTCCATCTTAAAAAAAAAAGATTATATTCCTGCCAGGTGTGATGGCTCATGCCTGTAATCTGAGCACTTTTGGAGGCTGAAGTGAAGGATCACTTGTGGCCGGGAATTTGAAACCAACCTGGTCAGCATAGCCAGATCCCACCTCTATTTTTAACATAATAAAAAAAAATAAGATTATGGGCCTGATGAGAGGCTGAAGCAGGCAGATAACTTGAACTCAGGAGTTCAAGAATAGCTTGGGCAACATGCAAGACCCCTATTTTTTTTTTTCTTTTGAGACACAGTCTCACTCTGTCACCCAGACTGGAATGCAGTGTGGCACGATCTTGGCTCACTGCAACCTCTGCCTCCCAGGTTCAAGCGATCCTCGTGCCTCACCCTCCCAAGTAGCTGGGATTACAGGCATGCACCACCACACCTGGCTAATTTTTGTACTTTTAGTAGAGACAGGGTTTCACCATGTTAGGCTGGTCTTGAGCTCCTGGCCTCAAGTGATCTGCCTGCCTTGGCCTCCCAAAGTGTTGGGATTACAGGCATGAGCAACCATGCCCGGCAGAGACCCCTGTCTCAAAAAAAAAATTAAGATTATTTTCTCCCCTTCACTATACTGTAAGCCTCTGAAGGTAGAGACCAAACCATATCCTTTTGTTCCCCAGTACTTAACACAGTGCCATGTAGGTAAAGGGCTGTCGATTAATGTTGGAAGGAGGTAGTGCTGGAGCCAAAGGCCGTCAGTTAGAAAGTTTTCTTGTCTGAGGAAAATGAAGGGCTGGATTAGGAAGGAGAGTACCACAACCCGTGATCAAGAAAGTTGAGAGACTCTTTCTCCTAAAGGGGTGTTAAGGCTTCCTTTTCCAGCCAACCCTCACCTCCCTGTGTACTTAGGAATCCGGAGATGATGAGTATCAAGGGGACCAGTCAGACACAGAGGACGAAGTGGACTCTGACTTTGACATTGATGAAGGGGATGAACCATCCAGTGATGGAGAAGCAGAAGAGCCAAGGAGGAAGCGCCGAGTAGTCACCAAGGCCTATAAGGTATAGGGGGAGTCCTAGTTTTCTTGGATTTTCTCAATTCCTGTTCTCTCTTTCATCGGGCATTGGTACTCCCTACACCTCTTCCATTTCTGGCAATGCTAGTTTTCTCTCATTGAGATCCTCATATTTCTCCTTATCTCTTCTGTTCCCTGGTATCTAATTCCAATCTGTCCTCAGGAGCCTCTCAAGAGTTTAAGGCCTCGAAAGGTCAACACCCCGGCCAGTAGCTCTCAGAAGGCCCGAGAAGAGAAGGCCCTACTGCCACTAGAACTACAGGATGACGGATCTGACAGTGAGTAGGGATGTTTGGGTCAATTGGCAGAATTGGAATATGATGATAAAGTATCATATCAGTGTTAAATATTCTGATGTTGCTGGGCGCAGTGGCTCACGTCTGTAATCCCAGCACTTTGGGAGGCCGAGGCAGGCGGATGACCTGAGATCAGGAGTTCGAGACCAGTCTGGCCAATATGATGAAACCTTATCTTTACTAAAAAATACAAAAATTAGCCAGGCGTGGTTGCGGGTGGCGGGCCCCTGTAATCCCAGCTGCTTAGGAGGCTGAGGCAGGAGAATCACTTGAACGTGAGAGGCAGAGGTTACAGTGAGCCAAGACCATGCCATTGCACTCCAGCCTCAGCAATAAGAGCGAAACTCCATCTCAAATATAATAATAAAAAGAAAAAAAATTACTGATGTTGATAACTTACTATGGATAGGAAAATCTTCATTCTTAGGAAATACACACAGAAATATTTAGGTAGGGATAAAGGCCATGATGTATACAACTTTAGTTATCTAACTTAGATCATTCAGAAAAAAACTACACATACAAAATGCAAAAGGGACAAAATGTTATTAACAGGTGATGGGGTAGAAGATACATGAGTATTCCTTGTACTGTTCTTACAACTTTGTAGGTTTGAAATTATTTCCAAACACAAAATTTAAAAATAAATAAAGTAGTGGACATGAATTCAAAGATTTCTTCTTATCTCACTCTCTTCCAGGTCGGAAGTCTATGCGTCAGTCTACAGCTGAGCACACACGACAAACGTTCCTTCGGGTACAGGAGAGGCAGGGCCAGTCAAGACGGCGAAAGGGGCCCCACTGTGAGCGGCCGCTAACCCAGGAGGAGCTGCTCAGAGAGGCCAAGATCACAGAAGAGCTTAATTTACGTTCACTGGGTCAGTCTGTGGTTTCAGAAAAAGTGGGTACAGGGGCTGAGGGGTATGAGAAAAACCATGAGACCTGGAGGACCAAAGGCCTGGAGAAATGGAAATTTGGGATAAAGGAATCAGAAGTAAGAAATGGGGGAGAGTAGGTGATTAAGACTGTAGGTAAGGCCGGGCGCGGTGGCTCAAGCCTGTAATCCCAGCACTGTGGGAGGCCGAGGCGGGTGGATCACGAGGTCAACAGATCGAGACCATCCTGGTCAACATGGTGAAACCCCGTCTCTACTAAAAATACAATAAATTAGCTGGGCATGGTGGTGCATGCCTGTAATCCCAGCTACTCAGGAGGCTGAGGCAGGAGAATTGCCTGAACCCAGGAGGCGGAGGTTGCGGTGAGCCGAGATCGCGCCATTGCACTCCAGCCTGGGTAACAAGAGCGAAACTCCGTCTCAAAAAAAAAAAAAAAAAAAGACTGTAGGTAAATTACTTAACCTATTCATATTTTGCTTTTCTTGTTTCTAAAATGGGGCATACACCGAATGACTCAGGAGGCTGAAGCAGGATTGCTTGAGGCCAGGAGTTCATAACCAGCCTGGACAACACAGTGAGGCCCCCATCTCTTAAAAAAAGAAAAAAAGGGGGACCGGGTACGGTGGCTCACACCTGTAATCCCAGCACTTTGAGAGGCGGAGGTGGGCAGATCACCTGAGGTTAGCAGTTCGAGACCAGCCTGGTCAACATGGTGAAACACCATCCCTATTAAACATACAAAAAATTTAGCCGGGTATGGTAGTGTGCACCTCTAGTCCTGGCTACTCTGGGGGCTGAAACAGAAGAATCACTTGAACCCAGGAGGTGGAGGTAGCAGTGAGCAGAGATCACACCACTGCACTCCAGCCTGGGTGACAGAGTGGGACTCGAAAAAAAAATAAAGTGACGTGGAAAAGAGGGTTGTTAGAGATGTGGTGATATACTGGGCATGGAGTGTTGAAGGGGCTACCCATGTGCACTTCGAAGTCACCAGGGTGACCTAAGGTGATAGGAATTGTGGTAGAGGTGAAGATTAGAAACCACTGCCAAAGTCTTCAGTGAGTGAGGGAGTGACCATGACTAGGAAGGAGAGAAGTTACTCTAGACTCTTAGCACAGGTCTCAAAAGAGAAGGGAGATTCTTCTGGTAGGCAGAAGAGTAGTGATCCGAAAGCTCCAGGGTGAGGCCCAGTAGGTCATAGGTATATCCTGTGGGGTAGTAAGAGAATGAGCAGCCGCCACCAGAGGTCTGCAGAGAGGAGTGGTGGCCTTAGTGAATGACCAGGTTTCTGGTAAGGCAAGTCACATGAAGGAACGCTGAGTGAGGAGCCGAGGATATAGATGAGTTGGCTGATTATAGAGCTTGAGCTCCAGAGGGTGTAGGCAAGTGTTCGAAAGTAGAGGGTTTGGAAGATTGGCGCAAGGGAGAGAAAGCAGTATTATCAGTATTATCAAACAGGTCAAGCAAGAGAGGTTCAGTGATTGGAAGGATTTCCAGAGTACTCTTTTTTTTTTTCTTTGAGATGGAGTTTTGGTCTGTCACCCAGACTGGAGTGCAATGGCATGATCTTGGCTCGTTGCAACCTCTGCCTCCCAGGTTCAAGTCATTCTCCTGCCTCAGTCCCCCAAGTAGCTGGGATTACAGGCTCAAGCCACCATACCCAGCTAATTTTTGTATTTTTAGTAGAGGCGGGGGTCTTACCATGTTGGCCAGGTTGGTCTTGAACTCCTGACCTCAGGTGATCTGTCTGCCTCGGCTTTCCAAAGTGCTAGAATTATGGGCATGAGCCATGGCGCCCAGCCACCAGAGTGCTCTCTTATGGTCAGACTTTAGAGAATTGTGTTCATAGTAACCATATTTAAGGACACAGAAATTTGGAGTTCATTCAGAGGAAAAGGGCAAGGAATATATATATATATATATATATATATATTTTTTTTTTTTTTTTTT